GCTGCGCCGGGGCGTGCAGGGCGCGGGGCTAAGGCGGGGGCGGGTGTGGGGGGCCGCTGCTGTCGAGATGCTGAGAGTCCCCTGGGGAGACCGGGCAAACCGCGTAGATTTTTCCTCTAAATAAGAGTGAGGCCGGACTGCTTGGCCCTCGTGTTTAAGACCTGTGTGGCCCTAACCAACTTCCTTAACTGCTCTGTGCCTCAGTCTCTTCGCCAGTAAAATGGGAATACTAATCGTCTATCCTCCTGGGGTTTTGGAAAGGACTTTTAAAGGTAATACTAGAGTACTTAGAGCAATGCATGGCTAGTAGTGGGAGGTCAATAAATGCCAACCGAGCGATATTAATACTCTTATTTTTGCCACTACCTCTGTTACAATGCACTGGGCCTCTTGGAGATGGTGAGTTCCAGGCCTCTTCCATTTTGGGGGGTGGGGGATATTTAAATATCTATTTGGGGGCATATTTAAAAATTAAAATTGCAAAAAGAGGGGCCAGCCGGTGGGGTGGCGGTTAAGTGCTGCTCTCTGCTTTGGCGGCGGCCCAAGGGTTTGCAGGTTCGGATCACTTTTGTGCAGGGATGGGGGGAGGGGAGAGAGCTGTCCCGTGCATTGTAGGATGTTGACAGCATCTCTGGTCTCTACCTCCTAGATGCCAGTAGCAGCCCCGCACCCCTCCTGTCACCACAATCAAAAGTATCACCAGATATTGCCAAATGTCCCCTGGGGGGCAAAATCACTCTGGGCTGAGAATCACTGCCCTAAGACTATTGTAACCTTCTTGACAGCAGGATCCCATGTTATACATCTTTGTGTCACCCTCTGCCGACACATGGCGCCTTGTACACAGCAGACACAGGTGTTTGCTCAATAAATGTGCGCCAGATAAGGCACGCAGAAATACGTCGTTAGAGAACAGAATGCAGCCCGCAACACATTTATTATCAGAAGCTTCATTACCGGGAGTAGAATCGCTAGAAGACTGGAGGGGGAGAACACCGTTTACTTAGCACCTTCTGTATGCCAGGCACTGTGCTGAGTGATCTGCATGTGCTATTTCATTTTACTTCACACAACAATCCTGTGACAGATTAGGAAACTGAGGCATGAGAGTCTCAGACACTTGCTGAGAAGAGTAAGAATTTGAGCCCAGGTCTTCAACAGTCAGACTTCTGCTTAACCACACCTCCATTCAGCATGGCAAGCGCTTGTTGGGAATCGGTTGTTTCCCACAGAATTTTTCTAAAAATAGTTGCTTAACCCTTACAACACCAAAAGTTGACATAGGACGGTCATTTGGGGCAGAAATATGACTCAAAGGCATTACACATGTCCTGCCTCTCAAAGCGTGCTTAATGTTAAAACAAGAATAACTAGCATTATCAGTCGCTCATTAATGTGCCAGGTACTCTTCTAAGCCTTTTATGTGTATTTCGTTATTCATTACCAGAAAAGCATGTGCTATTCCAAGGTCTTTGTGATGAAGATGGGCCGTGGTAGTTCAAAGACTTGACTGGAGCTCCAGCCCCAGCACTCACATTCATTTTTCTCAGGAGAGAAATGGCTAGTATAGTACATCCCCTGCCCACCACAAAGGTTGCTACAGCATCAGGGCTGAGCAAGCACGTGGTCAGAGCCCTTTGTACATGGCAGAGCGCTGCACAAGCTTCAAGACACTGTTCTTTATCTTCATTGTGAAGAGACCATGGAAGCGAACCTCAGTTATAGGGAGGGAAACTGGCAGTTCCGTTCTCATGTCCCTCTGCTCCTCGGTGCTCTCCAGGTGAGGCTCCTGGAACTCCTGCTGGTTAACAGTGCAACCTCCTGAACCCCCCTCCAGACTTCTGCGACCAAATAAGGAATTTTACCGTGCCACTTCTGCCCAATTTTGGTCCCCAAATCTGTTGACAGTTGCTGTTGCCATTCTCACAGGACATTAAGTTGACGTTCAGCAATAGCCACAAGTCAAAATTAAAAAGCCACAGCATAAGAGAATCTGGGAATATTTTATTCCTAGTGCCTACAGATTAAAAGAAAAAGACAGATCTGCAGTGGTTACCAGAGATGGGGGCTGGCAGGTAGGGAAATTGGATGAAGGTGGTCAGAGGTACAAACTTCCAGTTACAAGATAAATAATTACTGGGGATGTAATGTACAACATGATGACTATAGCTAACATTGCTGTATGGTATATTTGAAAGTTGCTAAGAGAGTAGATCCTAAGAGTTCTCATCACAAGGAAAAAACGTTTTTTTCTTGTATCTATATGAGATGATGGATGTTAACTAAACTTACTGTGGTAATCATTTCGCACTATATGTAAGTCAAGTCACTATGCTGTACACTTTAAACTTACAGAGTGCTATATGTCAATTATGTCTCAATAAAACTGAAATAAAAAAATGAAAAAGGGGCTGGCCCAGTGGCGTAGTGATTAAGTTGGCACGCTCCACTTCGGCGGCCCAGGGTTCAGATCCCGGGCGTGGACCTACACATGGCTTATGAAGCCATGCTGTGGCAGGCGTCTCACACAGAAAGTAGAGGAAGATGGGCACTGATGTTAGCCCAGGGCCAATCTTCCTCAGCAAAAAGAGGAGGATTGGCAACAGAAGTTAGCTCAGGGCTAATCTTCCTCACAAAAAAAAAAAAAAAAAGACAGATCTTCACTATTAGAAGAGATAAATACCCAACCCGGGTGATTATTATTTGCTAACACATTAGAAAAGCACTTTTCTGTCCCCTTTCAGGTGACGTGACAGGCGGGGGGACAGAGGAGAGGAATGTTAAGTGTTGGGGTCCAGGCTGCCCCAAATTGACTCATGTTGCAGTTTTACCCACGGCAGATTCACCCAGTGATACATCCAGGATTCATAAAGCCTTGTTTACACATTTCAATTAAAAGCCTTGAGAACAGAGGTCATTTCATGGTATTAATAACCGTTCTGGGGATTCTGACAACAGTGACATTTTAGAGAAAGAAATGCCTGGGCAAGCATTGAAGAGATCGACATTTGATACCGTGCATTGTTGGCAATATTCAAGTGCTAATCCTTCCATCTTCGTTTTCCTTCTACCCTTTGCTTTTTTTGAGACCGGCTAGTGTCTCTTTATAGTCGGATCTACCTGGTTTTGCCTGCTAATAACTTCCTGGTCATTAAGAGGTCCATGCCAGGGTTATTTAAATACTGGAAACGAGGAACAATTGAATCCTCTGCTGAAACATTAGTCTAGTGGGAGATATAGAGTTACGTCCTTCAGTAACACACTCGTGTCCACTCGAGTCAGGTGAAGACCGTCTCTGTAGAGACTTGCGGATGTGGTTGTAGTAAACAGGGGCTGTGGAGGCAGGTGCTGAGGGAGGACCAGGGAATGGACTTGAAACCTTGAAATGGTGTTTTTGGAAGAGCCGACCTTAGAGCAGGGGATTGCTGAGTGTCCAGAAGATGTCAAGGACCCCCGCTGCTGCTCGGACACCAGGGACATGACCCGCACCCACTAAGATGCCCGGATTGTTCAGAAAGGTGTGGTATGGGCTGGCATCTTTACTCAGCTTCTCCTCCTTCGTCCTGATCATCATTGCCCTGGCGGCGCCCCACTGGCTGAGTGGGAAAATCCTCTGTCAGACTGGAGTGGACCTGGTCAACGCCACGGATCCAGAGCTGGTCAAATTCATTGGGGACATTTACTACGGACTCTTCCGAGGGTGTAAGGTGCGGCAGTGTGGGCTCGGGGGCCGCCAGTCCCAATTCACAAGTGAGTATATTTGGGGCACGAAATCTGCTTCAGAACACTTATTTTTTACAATTTGTAAGGGCACTTATGTCTAAACATGGAATTCAACTGCTGCCTCAATCTAAGACATATGACAAAATCCTCAGTAAGCCAAGAAGAGACCTTGTTTTTGCCCTTGTAGAGGCTTATGGAAACATTAGAAGTCGGGATTTCTATATCTGTGTAGTTTACCTCTTTTACTAATAACTGTTAAAATATTGAGTGATTACATGTGCCAGACATTCTATTAAGTGCTTTACATGGCTTGTCTCTTTTAAGCCTCATTACAAGTTTATAAAGAAGGAATTATTAATGTTCCCATTTTTCGGAGAACTACACTGAAGTCTGGAGAGGTTACATAACTTGCCTGAGGTCACCCAGCCAGAAAACAGCAGAGCCAGACTGCAGACCCGTGCCACGTGACTGGGGTATTCTCAGCCAGTGCAGCACGTGAGGGTGTAGATTGCCTGCAGAAATGAACCTTCAGCGAGCATGGCAACAGCTCCCACTTATGTTTATATAAAAGCTTCATAGTCCGAGAAAAAGCAAAGGGGCTCTGTGCCGGGGCTCTGGAATCAGACTACCCCAGTTCAAAGCCTAACCCGGAGGTTTACTGGCCAGGAGACCTGGGGCAAGGCACTGGACTGCTCTCAGTGACCGTGAGCAGGCAGGGACATCAGCTGGCATCCAGTGTCATCAGAGCTGCTCTGGATATAAACAGAGCAGGAATCCAAGCCCAGCTTAGGAAGGGTCTTCTGGGAAGGAAAAAACAAATCAGAAAAAGGCAATAGTCTGCAAGCCTTTAGAATCAGATCACTGATGAGAATAGTGTCCTACAAAATCATAATTAATCAACCTAATACTAATGTAGGGGGATAAGGAATTTTATTCATTATTTGATTTCTGTTTTTGAGAATTGTAGTTTTTAGAATCCTGGCCAGGGTAAGTATCTTATTAAATATGTAAAGACAGAAACCTGGACCATTGACAAAGATAATAAAATACAAATTAGCACCGTTTATATACATGAAGGAAATACATATTTGTTATGTATATTCAAGAAAAAAGTCTCTAGGGATATTTATATTTACCCAGCAATTAAATTGGACCAGGGATATTGGAAAAATAGCTCTACTAAAAACATGACATATAAACCTGAAACACACACACACACAAACAAAGAAATAAAAATAAAGAACGTGTTAAAAGGATACCATGACAACTATGCAGTCCTTGGTTCCAAACTGGGTCTGTTTGCTATAAAAGACGTCCCTGGGACAATTCATGGAACTTAAATGCCGTCAGGATTAAACAGCAGTCATGTACCAGTGTTAACCTATGATTTTGACAGTTGTAGTTATGTAAGAGAATGTCCTTTTTGAGGAAATAGACTCTAAAGTACTCAGGGATGAAGGTGCAGTTTACCCTCAAATGGTTCAGGAGAAAAAAAAAAATCTTTATACCATTATTGCAATTTTTCTGAAGTTTGGGATTAATTTTAAAACTATAAAAAAAGATTTTTTAAGGGAGAAATGGCACAATTTTTTAAATAGTTGTAGGTAATTGAAATTAAGTAACCTCATAAAGGAAGTTCCATAGCTTGAACAAGGGAGCGACAGATTCAATAGCAGCAATATTCCAAAGACTTTAATAAGCGAGACAGTGCTTAGGCAATATAATAAAAATAGCCCACGGTAATTATATAGCGTGATATATCATGTTACCATGATAACCGCCTTCTTGTTGTTAGTATCTTCAAGTCAGTTCTGCCTCCTAGCAACCCTGTGCACAGCAGAGCAGAACCCTGCCCAGCCCTTTTGCACCATCCTCTCACCTTCCAGCGCTATATCAGACAATGCTCCACTGCTATTCATAGGGTTTTCATGGCCAATTTTTTGGGAAGTGGGTAGCCAGGTCCTTCTTCCTAGTCTGTCTTAGTCTGGAAGCTCTGCTGAAATATGTCCACCATGGGTGACCCTGCTGGTATTTGAAATACCAGTGGCATAGCTTGCAGCATCACAGAAACATGCAGCCGCCACAGTATGACAACCAACAGATGGGTGGTGTGGTTCCCCGACTCGGAAAAACCGGGGCCAAGGTGGTGAGAGCGCCCAAACTTAACCACTAGACCACCAGGCTGGCAACTGTCCTCTTACGTACTAGATAATTTACTTATCTATGTTTATTATTTATTATCTGTCTCCACTTCTACAGTATTTAGTGCCATGAGGGCAAGGACCTTGTTTGTTCATTGATGATCCCAAGCCCCCAGAGCAGTGCCTAGCACATACTAGGCACTCAAAAACATCGGTTGAATGAATAACAATAACATACTTTTAAACTCATTTGTACTGAATGTTCACATACAAGACGCCAGACGTGACCTAAGCTATACTGATCCTCCACAACCCTGCCAGATAGGAGGAGAAGACTGAGGCTCAGAGAGGTTAAGCAACTCACAGCTGTGTGACCCTGGCTAAGCTATGTATTTAACATCTCACTTCCTCATTTGTAAGAATGAGAGAGGGTTGCCGTGAGCAGGAAAAGAAAGAATGTGTGTATGTGCCTGGCACATAGTCTGCACTCAATATATGTAGCTGTTGCCATTTATTGTCATGGGTCATATGCTTTTATGGTTGTGGATATTAAGCTGGAAACTTAAACTTAATCCTTAAGTCAGAGACATCTAATACTTTTGGAAAATGGGTACAAATATGAAAGGCAAGCAAGCAACAGCTTTCCTGGGGTGGCCCTGTGTGACAGGACCATATGTGGAGTGGCCCCTTAAAAAATCGTTAATAGAATGAACTGATGCATTAAAACTCCTGAGGAAAGACTTGACTTTCTAAATAATGACATAGATGAAAAATAGGAAGATCTCATTTAAGTGGGAGATCCGGATCCTTGGGGTATGGCCCATGAATGCAGGAGCTAAGTGAGATTCAGCTTTTGCCGACAAAGATGTTTTTCTTAAAGTATAGTCAATACACTTCCTGCTGTGGAAGCTAAGGACTGGGTGCTCTTTTACCACCCCCCTGTCATTCTATACGCCCCAAATTCCCTCTCCCCCATCCTTCTAATATGGTCATGTCTCAATTTTTTATTAAGTCAAATCCGGAGGTGGGTTCGGATCATTATACGGGTATGACTAGTTCTTTTTAAAAGTTGCATTGTGTGGTTGTGCTGTACCTTAATTTATTAAATCAATCTCCCATTGATTCATATTTTGGTTTTTCTCCAATCTCTTGCTACTGTAATGAATATTCAATATATACAGCTCTGAGCACAAGTGGGAGTGCTTTCCCTAGAAGTGAAATTGCTTTGATAGATGTTGTCAAATAGCCCTCTAAGGAGGTTGTGTGAATTAATATCCCTACACAGTTTGACACCCGTTCCTTCCCCGACGCCTTCATCACCAGGGTGAGTTAACAAATGTTTCCATCTTTGCCAATCACATAAGCGATTGTTTTCTATTTTAAGTGCCTGATGAGTATTACTATGCTTGTTTTGTGTCCTAAGGATGGGATGGGCAAGAAAGGGGACAATGAAACAATTAGGTAATCAGGCATAAGCTACCATGTTTGGAATAAAAAGGGGCTGAGAGTTTGAAAACAAAAAAAAAAATCTGAGGGACACTGAGATGGAAGGGAAGCAAAGGGAAGAGAGAAGACTTACAAAGAAAAATCCTTTGGAAAGAAGCTCGTTTTCCAGGATAAAGTTTCTGATGCTGATGAGATAACCATATGGAGATAAATATAAATAGAAATACAGAACTGGAAAGAAAGTTAGATGAGAACTAAGGACATAACTGTGGAGTGTCTGGAAACTTCTGAGTGGAAAGAACACCTTAAAGGGAGAGGGACAAAAATTCTCATTCTCAGGCTTGGGAGACACCAACCTTCCATGAATAAAGGCACGCAGGTGACCCAGCAAAGGAGCCAGAGGGGAGGGGGTGGGGGAGTGAGTGGAACCAGGAAAGCTTTGAGTGCTGGCTCCTGAGGAGGGACAAACACATGGGCTGGTTGGTGGTATTAAGTGATGGAGCAGGGATGTTGGAGCTCATGAGGTGGACCCAGATTTGAGCAGAAGGTGTTCAGTAGAACCTTGGAGTAGTTGCAGAGGAAGGGGTATGCCCGGGATTCTTTAGCTTTCATCATTTTAAATTCTTCACTTATAACTACTGAAAACCGTGACCTAAACTCTATGTTCCGTATGGTATATAGGACTATATTCCTATATAGAATTCTGGGTCACCTTGCCCAAAGATAAAGGACTTAAAGTCTACAAGCCTGTGGGGTAAGGGGGTTTATCAAATCTTCCTCATGTCCTTGTCACAAGGATGGAAGGCAATAACAGATGTCAAGGGCTCAGCCCATGACTGTGCTCAGTAAATGTGGATTATCCTCATTCATATGCAGCTATTACTATCCCCATTTTACTGATGAGGAAACTGAGGCCCTGAGAAGTCACATGACTTTTCCCAAGTCAGAGGGTAAAAATAACAGCAGCAACAACCACAGCCGCCATTTTTAAGAATTGGCTGTTTCCAGCAATACTTGAAGTACGCTACTATGTTATATCATGTAATTTTCACAGCTATTATGTGGTGGCAAATATAGAGAAAACAAATACAAATTAATATTTCACTAAATTATCCTGCCACATTAATATGGCAAATTAATATTCTAATAAAGTACTGTGCAACGTGAGGATTAAGCATCCATCATACACTGGGAAACAAAGTCTGCCTTGCTGAGTCATTATGAGGGATCCAAGATGATGCTCTTAGCTTCACATTAGTGCCCATTAAGTGGGTGCCATTATTATTCCTTTGCACTTCACTTGATCCACTCAACAATCTTGTAAGATGGGTAGAGGAGGCAGGGTTTAGAGGATCCTATGTTAATGGTTGTTGCAAATGAGCAAAGCCGGGATTTGAACTCAGAACTTTGGATGCCAGATCTAGGTTTCACTTTGCTACACCCTTCCACACTCTTCACCATTATGCCTGAGATCTCTTCTACCTCTCTGATTTAATGAAGGCAACTCTCTGACCCAGGTTGAAGCTTTGCGATCAGCCCTCTTTGACTGATTCTCTTGCCAGCCTCCTTTGCTAAAGAGACACCATCTGGGCCTTGTGTGCATCAGCTCACACGAGATCCCAGGGCTCTGAGGTCAATGCAACTTAAATTGCCAGCTGGGGCACATTTGGATTTTGCATCCACCCTGATGAAGAGAGGATTGTTGGTCAACTGACAAGTGGCAAATCTGGGGGCCATGAATTCATCCCAGGAAGTCTCCTGCTTTTTGAAAATCCTCTTGCTGCCTTGCCCTTACTCACCTCTATTAAAGCCTTTATGATAAGCAAACTTGGGCTTTGTGAACTTGAGCCAAGCTCTGATGTGGAAATACTGGCTGTGTCTTCTCTCCTCAGTCTTCCCACACCTGGTGCAGGAGCTCAACACGGGCCTCCACGTGATAACTCTGCTTCTCCTCTTCTTGGCCTCGGCCCTGGCTCTGGTCAGCATGGGCTTTGCCATCCTCAACATGGTCCAGGTTCCGTACAGGGCAGTCAACGGCCCCGGGGGCATCTGCCTGTGGAATGTCCTTGCAGGTAAGGAAGGCCCCTAGAGAGAGAAATTCGGGTTCCGGCCTTCACCAGGCTGAGTTCCAAGTAATTAAGCTATGAAGGAATGAAAATGCCCCGCCTCAGCCTTCACTCCCCTGGTCTATAACCTTCTGGATGGGCATGAATCTCTCCATCACAATAAAGAACCAAACTGTTCTTTATTAGCGTCCACGAGTGACTGAGGGTTTAAAACAGTGAGGAGAGGTCAGGGTGAGAGGAGAAGCGAGAAGACAGAGCTGGGGGTGGAAGGGGCGGGGGCCGTTGGAGGAGTGAGGAGATGGAGCTGCTGTGAGGCTGGGAGGAACCCTCACAGATGACAGAAGAGCAGGGACCTGCTTTTTTTCATTTAAACCCCACAACCTCCCTATGAGGTGCTATTATTAGACCCATATTTACAGATAAAGAGCGTGAAGCTCAGGGAAGTTAACAGGTGCACCCAAGGTCACACAGCATTGAGTAGCAGAGGTGGGCTTCCACCCCAGGTACAACTGAGTTTAAGCCCTTTGTCTTTTCATTAATCTATGGTCTCATTTATGACTGTGACCTATTTTCCAAGACAAAAGGGTTGTATGTGTGTGTGTGTGTTTGATTTGGGAGGATATTGATACATGGAAAGTAATTTACATTTAGTTATGCACTTAAAAAATCATCTGCAATGAAAATACCAAAATCCCAAGAAATGAGGGCTGTTTCAGAAAACCCAGGTCAAGTGATCATGATGGCAGTAACCCCTCACTGCCTTTACCTTATACAGGGTGACCTTAAAGTATAAAAGCAAATAATGTGGTTTTATCCTGTATTAGAACGGAATGTCAGTATGTATTTGCCTGTGTTTGCAGACTGTGGCCATCCTGTAGAATTACTTATATACCAGGTGTCAACCAAGGAAAAATATTTCTACAATTTAAACAGCAGATATTTTGGGGGGCCATTAGAATTGCAATTCGGGAGACAGATTCAGGTAGAAACGCAAAACGTGTTCTGCTAGGGAGTAAAAGGGGCTTTTAAAGGCAAAGAAAGGAGGTTGTGTCACAAAGAATTTTAATTGGAGTTGGAGGCAGAGAGCTAGTCTTGGCTAAACATTGATTGACTATTGATTGTATCTTCAGAAAGTTCACAATCCTCAGTCTTTGTGATCAGGATGTCCATTCTCCTGCTGACTTCTCAGACAATCGCTTGTAAAACAATTGCCGTTTTGCCCCTGTTCAGAGGTTTGGCTCAGTTCAAGGTTCAGCACAGTAAAGCAGTTTCTCTGGAAAGTCAGCTCCTATTCCATTTTAAAATGGCTCCACTGTAGTCAATTTTGACAATGGCTCACCCTCATCTAGACCACAGGTGTCTTGTTTATCTCTGCTTGAATCCTTATAGTGGCTGGCATATAAAATGTACTCAGCCCTGCTTATCAAATAAATGCTTATCTCTGTCAATTTCCTTCCCTGGCGAGAGAGTACTCTCTAGCTCTACAGAGGAGAGTATTAAAAAAAAAGCAATTTGGCAAAACTTCAGTGTCAAAAGGCATAAAAATATGAATATCTTTTGATTAAACAATTCCAAATAGGGATTTATGCTAAGGAAATAACTAGAAAAGAGCACAAAAATGTACATTAAAAGGTGTTCACTGAAGCACTGTATAATATCAAAAAATTAGAAGCAATCTAATATCCAGAAAGAAAGTCACACTTAATTAAACAATTTAATTAGGTGTGTCACAGGATAAAACATCATGCACCAGTTTAAAGCGATGCTGTAACAGAATATTTAACAATATGGAAAAATGTTCAAGTAAGGGGGAAAAATCAGGTGTAAAATGGTAAGAACACTATAATACTAATTTTTTTCAAGAGAAAGAAATGTAAAGAAATATACTAAAATGTTCAAAATGTTTATACCTGGCTTTTAGGATAAAAGTAAATTTGGGGCCAGCCCCATGGCTTGGCGGTTAAGTGCGCACGCTCCGCTGCTGGCGGCCCGGGTTCAGATCCCGGGCACGCACCGACGCACCGCTTCTCCGGCCATGCTGAGGCCGCGTCCCACATACAGCAATTAGAGGGATGTACAGCTATGACATACAACTATCTACTGGGGCTTTGGAGGAAAAAAATAAATAAATAAAATTATAAAAAATAAAAAAGTAAATTTGTATTTTCATCTTTATGATTTTCTCTGGTGTCCAAATTTTCTTCAATGAAAATGTAATGATCTAAACAAAAAGCATAATATATGTGTTTTTTAAAATATTAATTAAAATCAAAGCAGTAGAAAAGTAGAGAGAGAGAAAGATTGAGAGAGAGAGAGAGCCAGAAAGTCCAAGTTTGCAGCAACAGGTAGAGAAGTCTGTGAAGTTTGGAATCCTTCCAGTTTTCCCTGCTCTATTTTCTCTTCCTCCTTCTCTTATCTCCTTGTCTTATCCTTTTTTTTTGTATAATTTTATTTATTTTTTCCCCCAAAGCCCCAGTAGATAGTTGTATGTCATTGTTGCACATCCTTCTAGTTGCTGTATGTGGGATGCAGCCTCACCATGGCCGGAGAAGCGGTGCATCCCTGCGCGCCCGGGATCCGAACCCGGGGCGCCAGCAGCGGAGCACACGCACTTAACCACTAAGCCACGGGGCCAGCCCTCTCCTCGTCTTATCCTTAAGTATGCAAAGAGGATAATTAAAGAGAACAGTCTAGCCCTCCCTTGAAACCCCAATCTGCACAGTAAGGTGTTCTTACATCTTCCCACGTAGCCCTCAGAGTCTACATCCAAATGCTACAATATGTAGAGATTGAACTTTTCTGAATGTGGAGACCCGGTACTGGGTAAGGGGGAAAATTAGAAGGGTCGAGATTCAAAGTCAATCTGATATGAAGCATACTTTCTTTCTCCCACGCCTCTACCTCTCACACTGTGGGGTTATCTGCTGCTTTTAAAAGCAAAGTAACACTTGTGTCGCCCTAACCATTTTTTACACCCGAAGCGAGTTTGTTTCCTGTGCCACAGAAATGGCACCTCACACATGGTCGTTACAACTGCAAGAAGGCGCTGTGAGTGAGGGTGACCTTTCTGGGTTTCAGGCGGAGTCGCGGCCTTGGCCATCAGCAGCTTCATGGCCGCGGTGAAATTTCACGACCTGACCGGACGGATCGCCAACTTTCGGGAGAAGCTCTTTCGGTTCGTGGTGCTGGAAGAACAGTACGAAGAGTCGTTTTGGATCTGTGTGGCCAGCGCCTCGGCCCATGCTGCGAACTTGGTTGTGGTGGCGATCAGTCAAATTCCTCTCCCGGAGATCAAGACCAAAATAGAAGAGGCCACGGTCACGGCTGAGGATATCTTGTATTAACAGCCTTCTCCTGCTCACACCCTTTCCTAAATCAGTTCTGCAGTGTGAATGGAGACCTCTCTTTTTTTTTTTTTTTTGCAGGCTTCACAGTCCAGAATGTCCATATTCTTGGCAGTAAGAAGGAAGTGGAAGGAGGAAGGGTGGTGCCCCGGCCAGAAAAGAAAACTTGCCCAAATTCCTGGCATCTCTGCCCTTTTTTCTCACTGACCTGGGAGTTAGGGCTGGAGACTCTGCCACTTGCTGGCTGTGTGTGACATTGGACAACTCACTTAATGTCTACTTCTCAGGTTCCTCATCTGTAAAATGGAGATATTAATGACCTCACAAGGTTGTAATGGGGTTTAAATGGGCAATAATGTTGCCAGCCTTTGCATATTGTAGAACACCCTACCAATATAAGGTACTGGACACTCTAATAAATGTCTATAGACCCTTGGTCTATTCCACACAATATTGGGGGGATACAAAGAGGCATCCCGGCCTCCAGAAACACCAAATCTTGCCATGCGGCACAGGAATCAGATTGCAACAATAACGCTAAGAATGAAAAGAACTATCATCTTTTGAGCGGTTACTACGTGTAGTTCTAAGATGTTTACATATATTAACTCATTGCGTCCTCACTACAAACTCAGATTGTCGGTTCTATTTCATTCCTGTTTTATAGATGAAGAAACTGAAGCATAGAGAGGTTAGGTAACTTGCAGAGGGCAGGAATTAATTCGAAGAAGTCTGGAGCCAGAGTTTACACTTGTAACCACTTTGCTCGTTGGTTGCGGGATGTACAAGTCATTGCAGCACACGGAGCTCAATGCTGTAATAGTACAAGCATAAAGGACTGAAGTAGGAATTAATCCTTCAGGACGGAATGTGGTATTAAGGAAAGTGTCACAGAGTTGACACTTGATCTGAACTCTGAAAGATGAGTCGACTTTTTCCAAGGGGGAAGGAGGCAGGGTTGGAGAAGGGCATTCCAGGCTGAGTTAGTAACGAGGAGAGGCACAAAGCATGAAATTACAAGGAGGGCTTGGAAGCATGTGGATACCCAGTGGGATTAGAATGTTGCTCTAATCCACCTGTTGGAGAAACCCCGGCTATTTTGTGTTGGGTTTTCCTAAGTGGTACTGTGATGGTTAATTTTATGTTGTCAACTTAGCTAGGCCATGATACCTAGATATTTAGTCAAACACTGTTCTAGATATTTTCGTGAAGGTATTTTTTGGATGGGATTAATGTTTAAATCAGTAGACTTTGAGTAAAGCAGATTGCTGTCCACAGTGTGGGTGGGCCTCATTCAATCAGTTGAAGGCCTTAAGAAAAAGACTGACCTCCCCTGAGGGAGAGAGAATTCTGCCAGCCAACTGTAACTCTTCCCTGGATCTCCAGACTGCCAGCCTACCCTGCAGATTTTGGACTTGCCATTGTCCACAATCTTGGGGACCAATTCCTTGAAAAAAAAATCCTCTCTCTATCTCTCTCTCTCTATGGATGGATGGATGGATGGATGGATGGATGGATGGATGGATAGATAGATAGATAGATAGATAGATAGATAGATAGATAGATAGATAGATAGATAGACACACACACACATTTTCTATTGGTTCTATTTCTCCGGAAAACCCTCACTCATTCAAGCACACAACTCCATTCATTTTCCCATGACGCCAGCTGGGGTGAATCCTTGCCCGGGTCTCCTGTCTTCATGCCAAGTAAAAGTTATCTAATCCTCCAGATTAGCTCCATCTAAAATGACACCTGATCTGGACTCACTCTACCTTTGCTTAACACTGCACTTCAGGAAGTTTCCGTGACATCTCTTCTGTTCTAATTGCTTATGATTCCCTACTGGCTAACCTGTCCCTTCCAGCCCTCTATCCCCATCCCAGACATAGCTCAGTACTATTTAGTGGACTGGGGTCATTCATCAAATATGCAGATGGCATATGGCCAGAAGAGATAGGTAACACAATAGGGGATGGATCCAAGAGATAGTGACAGACCACAGTGCTGTCTGGAACACAAGTGGAAATGTCAATGTCCTATCAAGTTTACCATAAAGTCCTGCTAACAGTGAAAAAAAAAAATAACATAAATACAGAAGAGTCTGGCAACAGTTTATATGACAAACATCTGAGGATCTTGGTAAATTTATTTGTTCAACAAGTATTGAAACGGAGCTAGCTGCTCGGAGTAGAGCAGTGAACACACAGACAAAAATCCCCACTCTCCAGAGATTTCGTTCTCCCACTGGCCGGGGGTGATTCTCACTGAGACAGCTTGTGATGGAGCCAGTGAAGAACAGCGGCCCAGCCACAGCCTTCAACCTGATGGTGGCCTTCAGGTATGTGCAGACCGTCATATAGGGGCAGTGAATTCAGTTTTGCTTCTAACAGTAGAATTGCCTTATCAATATGGTAACCTTGATCAAGATGGATGTGTACCAAGGAGTCAAACTGCTGGCTTTTGTATGTGTGTGCATTTTTCCAGTGACGAGTCCATAGCTTTCTAAAGATTTCCAAAGTGTCCACAATACCTTTAAAGTTTCAAACCATGACCCATCAGGTGGCGGCCGTAATGTTACTAGAGATAATCAGGTTCGGTCTGAAAGTCGTCTCTCGGGGATACTGCAGAAGAGATTCCTGTATGAGATTTAGCGTGTTTTCTTGGGGGTGAGGGAAGAGTGGGAAGAAGGGAAGAAGGGAGATTAAATATCTGGGTCACAAAGTTCACTCACATGATCACTTGGATGTATAGAGAAAATGTAGCTTCTTTATTTTGACTATAGTTAATCTGGTCATTTTGTAAGTAAGAAAAAATACTAATAAAGGCCCAGTCTAGTTTAAATTTAACCCAACCTGATCATTTATACCATCCCTCCGGGTAATGTTAAGCCTTTCTGGGTTAAAATGGCTGGTTCCTCAGGTAACACCCCTGCTCCTGCCTCTCTCCTGAAGGTAGTTCTAGGGTTATGGGAGAGGGAGGCACGCACACACATACTCCTGATTTCCAGGAAGCATCCCCTGGCCTCTTGCTGGTTCTGGGGGTGCACTGGCTGGGCTCTTCGGGCTCCTGTCTCCCTGGCTGCTTCTTGCCTGGCCAGCCTTTCCAGAGCCATCCAAGGCCAGAGTAATTTATGAAATGTTCTCTCAACTGAGCAGAGCCCACTCACTGCCTAGAAGACTTAAGAAAATACTGTGAACCTTAAGTTCTTGTAAATGTCGCAACACTGTATATAAATGGAGTATGATTCCAAATCAATCGGAATTGCAAGACTGCCCTTTCTCTTGCAGACCAACTTCTCTTAATCATCACTAATATCTAAAATAATAAATATGCACAGATTTTAAACCCAAAAATATCACTATCTTGATTTTGCTTCTTTTGAATATTTCTGTACTTAATTCTAAATCTTGGGGCCAGCCTGGTGGCATAGTGGTTAAGTTGGCATGCTCTGCTTCTGCAGCCCAGGGTTTGTGGGTTTGGACCCCGGGTGAAGACCTACGCACCACTGATCAAGCCATCCTGTGGCAGCATCCCATATGCAAAATAGAGGAAGATTGGCAACAGATGTTAGCTCAGGGCCACTTTTCCTCACACGCAAAAAAATAACACATAAATTCTAAATCTTGTCAGGGCAAAAAAGATGCTTACTCACCAAGTAAATAATTATACCATCTGTCACAATTTTAGGAATTGCCTTTCCATATATTTTGGGAATTAACTTCTCAAAAGGGTTGTGGTCACATTATGACTTAAGTTTCACCTCCAACGTCATCTTCTAAATGACCGCCCTATTTATTTATTTATTTTTTTATTTATTTTTTTGTGAGGAAGATCAGCCCTCAGCTAACATCCATGCTAATCCTCCTCTTTTTGCACCGGCTCTGAGCTAACATCTGACCGCCCAATTTAATACTGAAACTGAAGTCTTACATTTTCCCAGCACTGCTGATCCTCCTTGCTTGGCTCTACTTTTTCTTTTTACTTTCTTTTAACGTGCTCCATAATTGATATGTGTATCATGTGCTATGCTTATTGTTTTTTGCCTGTTTTTCCCCATGAGAATGTCATCTCCATGAGGACAGGACCTTTCTAGGTTTTTTGCTCATTGATAGATCTCACGCACCCTGATATATCTCAAGCACCTAGAACTGTTCCTAAATAATTTAGAAAATAAACTCTTTTTAATCTCAAGAACACATTTGTTAAAAGAAGCCAGATATTAAAAAGTACATACTATATGATTTCATTCATATGGAGTTTAAGATAGGCAAATCTAATCTATGGTGAGATAAGTCACAAAAATTTTTTTAAAAATTAAAAATACACAAAGAAAATGTTTGAAAGTTTCCTTTTTCCTTCCTCAATCCCACTCCCAAAAGGTAACCATTTCTAAAACTTCTTTGTACCTTTTTCCATACTCTTTCTAAATATACACATACTTTTTTTTTCCTTACACAATGGATGATTTGTACACATATTGTTCTGTAATTTACAATGCGTATTTCTAATCAAGCAGCTCTCCTCTGGAAAAAAAAAATGTTGGACAAAGTAACTTTTTTAGTTTTACAAAGAGAAAAATCATATGTGACAGAAAATGAGCTGGTGCTTCCTTTTTAGATCAATAATTTGCTCTGTAGGAAATCAGGAAAGCGAGAGGTGGATCTAGAGAGCAGTCAATAAAGCTTCTTGGGAAAGCACTGGAGCTCAGCTAACCGCATTTCATGCTGGCCGGGCAGACGACAGGGTGCACGCCGGGCAAAGTGAGAAACGCGAGCCAGCAAAGAAGGGAAGATGGACGGGGCCTGCGCTGTGGACAGTGGGCGGGTGGACTGGGGAGAGCGGAAGGTCATATATTGGAAGATGAGCTTATAACACTAGTTATCCTCCAGAAGTATTCCTTATTTTGACATAATTTTAGAAAGTTGTAAAAGTAGTACAAAAAATTCCTCTCTAGCCTTTACCTAGATTCCCCAAATGTTAACATTTCACCACATTCTTTATCATTCTCTCCTCTCTCCGCCTTTCTTCTCCTGTGTGTGTGCGCATGCGCACACATGCGTGCACGTGCACATAAATTTTT